ACAGCGCTGCCCTCCAGTTAGTGCGCATCCACAGCGACCCCTGTGGGTTTCTGTTGACGCGAGTGGAGCCCAGGCTTTCTCCCTGGGTGGTGGTTTCCCACTGGAAACCTGCCGAGCACCAGCGGACAGGAAGTAATCCGCCGAAAACCCTCTGAGGCTGGCTTAGTCTCACGTGTGGATGGTGCTCTTGGGAACCTCAGCAGTGCCTGCCTTCTCTGCACAGGTCCCAGTGGGGCACACAGGTGAGGGTCAACTCACAGGTGTCTGTCCTGGGGACCACCACAGCATGCTGTGGGCTTCCCTGACCACTGGGCCAGTCCCTGCTCTCTGAAGTAAATGCTGGCAGTGCTGTGGCTCTGCTGGGGCAGCGAGGAGCAAGTGCCTGCCTCATTGTTGCTTCTGGGGCTCTGGCTCAGAGCTGGCATTAAAATCCACTCTGCCAAGCCCAGCCAGCTGGAGCAGAACACAGGGTCTGGGGGGAGGGCAGGGAGGGGCTGGGAGAGAGAGCCAGTGTTTGCCAGCAACAGCTTGCTCGCCAGCAAACAATGAGTCCACTGTTGACTGACTGGGGCCTTGATTAATATTTGCAAGACGAATTAAGTGGAAAATTCCACCTGTGGGTGGAGGCCTGGCCTTACGCAGGACAGGTCAATAACCCTGATTGCTTGGATGGATCAGGCAAAGGTCTGAAGAGAGAGAGAACCTACTCTTGGGTCCGAGGGAACTGCTTCTTCCAGTCCCAGGACAGTTTGTTGGGTTTTTTTGTTGTTTGTTTGTTTATTAACTATTCTGCCCACCCCCATGCCTAAATTGAAAGCCCTTCCCATCACTGTCTCCTCTGAGTCTCCCAACAGACCAGCCATGCAATTACAAATAGAGAAACTGAAGCTCCCAGAAATCGAGAGTTGCCCAAAGGCATCAGCTGGTGAGTGAGCAGCTGAGCCAGGCAGGCTGAAACCTGGCTCAGTATAGAGCCTGCCCCAGGAGTTGGGGCTCAGTAGTCCTGGTGACTGCAGAGAGGGGCCCTCCAAGCTCCAGGGAGGCCCAGAACAGGAAGAGAGAACTCAATTCGGCCGACTCTGTTGGAAATGGCTTAGAAGCAAACCAGGGGCAGCACTCACATCCCAGAAGCCCCAGAAGCCAAGGGCCAAGTGGTACCACCTTGGGCCAACCTCCCAACCCCTGACCCAGGTGGCAGGGGCCCTCTCAGACTGTGTCCTGACTCACAGCCTGAGAACAACCTCCCTCAGTCTCTCCTCTTCTCCAGTCTCCAGGGTCACCCCTGATGGACATCTGATTCAAGGACCCTCCTCAGGCCTGTCACCCTTGGTCAGCCATGTCTGACCCCGTGGCTGTAACCCCACCCTAGGTTTTCCTGGTACTCAGAATAACAAAGTGACTGCCATCAACTCTTTACCGACTATTAGCAACCCTGTAGGGCAGGGGAGAATTGCCCCTGTGGGTTTCCAAGACCACAATTCTTGAGAGTAGAAAGCTTTATCTTTTGGAGCGGCTGGTGGTTTCAAACTGCTGGCCTATGGTTAGCAGCCCAGCATGTACCCCACTATGCCACCAGGCCCCTCTTAATCCCCACCTCCTAGACCAGTGGTTCTCTACCTTCCTGATTCCTCGACCCTTTAATGCAGTTCCTCATGTTGTGGTGACACCCCCTACCATAACATTATTTTCATTGTTACTTCATAACTATAAATTTGCTACTGTTATGAACTAGGCGACCCCTTTGAAAGGATCATTCTACCCCCAAAGGTGTCGCGACCCGCAGGTTGAGAACCGCAGTCCTAGATGTTCTCCTCCCCACTGGCCTTATCCTCTCCTCTCCTCTCCACCAGCATGGGCCTTTAATTAACCTCTCTAAATTGTGAGGCAAACATGAAGACCCCGTGGCTGTTACCAGAGGGGTCGGAAGTTAGAGCCCACCCAGAGGCCATTCTGGTGCAAACTCAGCCTCTGGGAGAGCCCCATGGACACAGTCCGGAATCACCTAGGGTTGCCATGAGTTGCCAACATCTCCATGGCAACTGGTTTTGTTGGTCTGGACTATAAATGGCTGACTCACAGACTCCATCTCCAGGCCTAGCCGTTTGCTTGGTCCCTGGCTGTCCCCAGAGTCCTGGCTGGCCCTGGCAGGGCCTGCTGCAGCACGTGGCTGTAAAGTCAGCACTAGTTCAGAGTCTGGAAACCATCCACAGATTACACCCCTGCTGTGGGTCCTTGGCGCCAAGGTACAAAGTTCAGGATCTCAAACTGGCAGATGAAACTCTCTCCAACTGCCCTTCCGTGGCGGGGTCAACTCTCTCCAACTGCCCTTCCGTGACGGGGTCCCGGACCCCGAACATCTTGCTGGCTTCGCCAACAATCCGAGAGCACATCCTAGTGTCACTCAACTTTGGCCACCCCCCACTCCCCCACCCCCAGCGGGTACCTGGTGGGATACCTGGAACACAGCAGGTATTGCTAAACAGGAAGCTTTTGGAGCCAAAACTGACCTCAGAGGCCACAGGACCCAAAAGCTACTCTGAGAGGTTGAATAGGGGGTGCAGGGTGGCTCAGCCACAGTCTGGCCACAGTGACCCTCCTGGGTCAGAAACTTGAACACCTGAAGCCCAAGGGGTACATGTGCTGGGGCCCCCAGCTGGCCTAGAGGCCCGGGACCGGGTACTACTCCATGTATACACAGTAGGGCCTCAGTAACAGACAACCTCTCCAGAGCTGATTACTCCATGTATGAGTCTCACGCCCCTCTAGGTCTCCATTTTCTCATCTGTGGAATGGAGCTACACATTTGGGAGAGT